TGATGGGGCTGGGGATTTAGCTCAGTGGTGTAAGTACCTGCCTTGCAAGCAGGCGGTCGTGAGTTCGATCCCCGGTACCGATAAAAATGAAAAAGACAAAAAAAAATGAGTTATTACTGATAAGTATAGTTATCCCTATCATTGCTTACTTTCCTGCTGTTGAATCTCTGTTCTTTCCTACTTAACTTCTAACTCCACCTGTTACATTCATTCTGTTAGACGTTTAGTCATTGTTATATCCATTATCTCTTCCCAGGAGAATCTGGAGAATTTACTGGAGCACTAGCTTAGTAGTTGTGGATTTCTTTAGGTGTTTCTTATCATAAAAGTATCTCACCTTTCCATCAATTTTGAAAGATACTTTTGCAAGATATGTGTGTCTGGGTAGGAAATTTTTTACTTTTAGGACTTGAAACACCTCATTCCAACTCTCCTGTCCTTTAAGATTTACATTGAAAAGTCTGGTACAATTCTCATGGGTTTTCCTTTATAAACAATTTGTTGTATTTTGCTAACCATGTTTAAGATTGTGCTCTTGTGTTGAACTTCTGGGATTTTGACTATGATGCATCTTTATTGTGTATGGTCTTATTTAATTATATGATAAATTATTTTCCCACATCAGGAAAGCTTTGTGCTATTATTTGAGGTTTTTAGGCCACTTTGTGCTGTCTTCTGATTTCCTAATAATTCCAATTCATCTTAGTCTTTTTACATCATCTAGGAGCTGTTGGAGCTATTTTGCATGATCTGTCATTGTTTTTCAAGGTAACTCTCATTAGTTGGTTACTGACAACAGCCCCATCTTCTACTTCTGGAATCAGTTCTTACATTGGTCACTTCTGTCCATAATTTTGATAGAATTTTTATATTTTAAGTTTCCATTTGGAGTCCATTTACAGACTAATTATTTTCTATGCTGCACATTCATCTCTTGCAACATTTTGCTTAGCTCTTCTATCTTTTTCTCAGTGCTTTCTATAGACTCATTTGCCCAATATCTTTTTACTTATATGCTCTGCAAGCTTGTCAAGTACCTTCTTGACCTCTTCTATTATCTTTCCTGATATCATTTTTGAAGAATTCAGGCATGTGGCTTTTGGCTTCCTTCACTTCAATGCCCTATTGATCTGCTTTAAGGGAGTTGGTGGTCTTTGAAAGCATTTTGTTGTCTTGTCTTCTCATGTTTCTATTTTTTATTTGTTTATTTATTAAGGTTTGCAATTTAATTGCAATGGAAAGTTTTTTTCTAATACAGAGACCTCTTTAGCTAATGTCTACTTCTCAGTGATGTGTTCTACTTATGGCCCTTATGTGTTCTAAATATTGCCCTTTCCCTCTACCCAGCTTTCAATCACCTCCTATTGTTTGAGGTGGGAGGTTACAGAATATTTTGCCCAATATCTAGTTTCCAAGAATGGGCCACTGTGCTGTTGATCACCCAAAGACAATCCAGATATTTCGATTTCACAAAAACCATTAATAGCAACAACTATGTCACCTTGGGCATAGTAAAAAAATCAACATTAATATAGCATCAAATGCAAACTGAACATTGACAAATCCAAAGAAGTAGCACTATTATTCATAGAAAAAAGATCTATAATTACAGTGTGAACCTTAAGGCAAGTCAAATAATGACCTATTATTGACCTACATAATTATCTACTAAATGGAGCAAATTTGCTTCTATTAACTATAGGACAAGATTCAACAGTGATAGCATACATTTATCTAGTTATCCTGAGACTCATAAAACTTAGTAGTTATACTGGTAAAGGTAGAGAGGGTGGGAACCAGGGGATGAAAAAAGAAAAATTTGAAAAATTAATGGGATATAAGAATGAGAAGAAAAATCCAAGACGGCTAAAAAATAAAAAGAAATTAGTAGTGATAGAGAGCAGTCACAGAAAAGAATGAACAAGATTTAGAAGAGAAAATGTAAACAGCAAAAACAAAATAAAAAGAAGGTAAAAATGAAGAGAAAAAAATTTTAAGGAAAAAAGATCAAAACAGAAAGAAAACTATGAGGAGAAAAAAAATCCATACCGTTAAAAAGTTTGATGAAGGAAAAACAAGAATCATAGAAAATAGAAATATCAAATAAAGACTGAGTCAAAGAAAAAATTCCTATGTCATTGAATGAGTCATTTCTTTCCCAGACCCAAGGCCTTGGAATCCAACCAGTCAGGATTTTCTACTCCTGGCTTCAAGGCCTATGGATTTTGGAGGTTCACTCCCTGCATCAGAGACCTCTCTGTCCTCACCTCTGACTACGTTGCTGGTTATCCCTCACCTCTGCTGCCACTCGCGTGGAGAAGCAAAATGCAGATCTGGTTTAGAGGTGGTGAATGGTGCCTCCTTTGCCATGGAGAATGCAGTGCACGTAGCCAGGTCTGCTGCTCAAGGAGGGAGGGGCGACTCATCTGGTACAGACTTGCTTCCTCCCCAGGGAAAGCAGCTCTCATCTGGTGCAGACCTTCTGGCTCAGGAGGGAGAAGGGTGCTGCTTGTCTAGTTGGCATGGGGGGAGGGGTGCTTGCCCAGGGCAGGCCTGCTTGCTCCTGGGGTGAGGGTGTCACTAGTAGGTGCAGGTCTGCTTGCTGGTACAGTGGCAGGCTGAGGGGCTACTTGCTCTGCTATTGCCTCTGTAGCATGGTCTCCAGTCCCTTCAGCCTCCCAGCACAGACTCTTCAGTCTCCCAGTGCAGAATCTTCAAGTTTCCAAAAGACTCAAACCAGTGGCTCTGCAGTGAGACTCCAGGCCTTCAAACTTGATTGCATCTGGATCTTCTGGACATTTTGGATTCTTTTGTCTCTGATCTGGCAAACGGCCACTGGGGTTCTTCCGCTTCTGATCCTGTAAGTCTACCTAATAAATATTTTTAGAACCATACATATACTTTATATTAGATCTGTTCCTACAAAGACCCCTGATATCAAAGTCATCTCTGACAATAGAAATTAGAACTCATAGCCTCAGATTCATTTTAGATTAAAAGTAGGTATGAGTCTGAGTCCATCCAATCAGGACTTCCTGATTTAGATGATTTAGAAAGAACAGCATGAGGCATGCCTATGAAAAAGAATTCTGCTAACAAATGGTTTTAAAAAAAAAACGCATTTGGTTCTTCACTAACAATGCGGTCTAAGATTCCACTACCATCTTTCATTGAGTCTAACACATCTTCAGCTAATGGTGAACCATCACTTCCAGTACTTCTCAAACATGTCTAAGAAAGCAATATCAGCACTAAGAATTTTTTTTTCAATCCATTAGTACTAATTCTGTGGGTACTGATGCCTACGAACAGGCAATAACAGTTGTATGTGACTTCTAGTTGGGCAAAAGTTGTGAGATGCAGTCTAATTGTACTTTGGGGAAAATAACATGTCTTATGAAGTGTGAAATATACTTCGTCTTTCCTCACAACTCCAGGATGACTTTCACTGCTATGATATGGGAGAATACATTCAAGGAAGATTTGTTTCATGGTTACAAACAAGCCATGAGATGAAACAAATACCTTACTCCAGCCCAAAGTGCTACAGTTTGTGCTAGCCTAACGCATAAGGACAATAACAGATCTTCAAAGTAGTTTCCTGAGGGGTTATAACAGGCAGTCTCTGAAGAGAGGGGCAAAAAATTTAATTGTAGCTAGTTTCTACTTTCAGTGTATTACAACAGGGACAGCTTTTGTTTGTTTGTTTGTTTATTTATTTATTTATTTATATAATGCAAGCCCATGCATGCAATCCAAATTTATTAAACTACTGATACTAAGTTACACAAAATCGCACCACTTTAATTAAGGCTTTTAGTTTTCACTTGGCCACCTCAAAGCAGTAATGTTAAGTTGGTCACTTCAAATACTGTGGCTCCCTGTTGGACAGACACACAATCTTTACACTCAAATGTTAATGCATACCTAGCAAAAAGGCACTGTGAAATAAAACAGTTAACAGTTCTAGCAAATGCAGCCCTGTAACCAATTACACGATTAAAATTACTTCCCATGTTCATATCCACAGTACTCATTCACCATTTAACATTGCAACCAAAACATTACACATGTGAATCACTAACAGGCAAAAATACTAAACCTGTATATATGGTATTGCAAATACACTTATGCGTGAGCAAGCAAGGGATTCACAGTAAGAATCTACACCTGCAGAAGCCTCAAAATGATTTACAAAAATGTTAAATCATTAAAAAATTGTTTGAAAATTTACACTTCTTGTTGTAGACCCCCCACTGTAGACACAATTCTAAACAGTGTTCCCTATGTAAACAAAAAAGGAAACATATAATAAATAAAACATAAAAGAAGTTTGAAACATCTGGACATTTCCTTCCCAACAGATTTAAAGGCAATGTGTTTAATCTAAGACCTTATACTAAAAGGACTATCATATTTTAAAGACAAGATCACTGTCACCACAGGTTTTTGAAAAATTAAAAAACTATATAGCAGTGTTAATCGGAGTGGCTATTTTGTAAAATAAAATGATAATGACCTTGATTTTAAAAAAATTACAGTGAGTTACAAGTATGAAAAAAGTGAAGTTATCTGGAGTAATCTATACAGGAGCCCTTTGGATTTCTTTTATTATGCTAAAATAAATGCAGCTTTTAGAGTTTACATTACTGTACTCTCCAGTACAAAGTATAGGGTGTCTTAAAGTATACAGTATACCATTTTCATATGTATATACATTATTGGTAGGTGAAGAAATGTCTCTTAGCAGTAATAGTAGATGTAGCCTCTGATTTTACAAGCTGCATACTCTAGACTATTATATAAGTAAAAATCTTTCTTGTGATATGGTAAAGTGATCAGAATGTGCAAACTGAGAGTAGCTTTCATCCACGTTTTATTGGGTACCAATGCAGGAAAGTCCATTTAAGATGTTGGTAGGTTTAAGTTGGAATGCTGGCACTGTTGAATTGGACAGCAGTTCTTCAGACCTGATTCAGAGCTACAATGCATTTAGTATATTAAAGCAGTTGATATGACGACTTATTGCAGGTCTTCCCAGGCACTGAAGTTTTTCCTTTAATTTGCTGCACTAGATCACAAAAGATCTCATTAACATATATTTTTTGTTTTGCAGATTCTAAGAATGCACAGTTGTTCCACTGTCTTGCTAGATTTTGACCTTGTTCCTTTCCTACAACTTTTTCATCTCCCAAGCCACATTTATTACCAACCAGAATCATTGGAACATCCTCAGTGTCTTTAACCTGAAGAAACTGTTCTCTCAGATCTTGTAGATCATCAAATGTGGACTCTGCTATGATGGAATAAACTAAAGCAAAGCCTTCTCCATTTTTCATGTACAAATCTCTCATTGCTATAAATTGTTCCATTCTTGCAGTATTCACAATTTCAAGCATATGCTGCTGTACATCTACTTCAATTTACTTTCTATAAGAATCTTCTCTCTTGGGTTCATATTTTTCAACAAAAATTCTTTGAACAAACTGTACAGGCGGAGCAGGCTTTCTAATGCCTCCTAAGCCAAGAACAACTGGCTTATACTTAGGCATGATGCCAATTTATCAAAGAGAGGACTTCCTCCTCTCTCACACTGTCATGAGTGGCCACAGCCAGTGTCATCCCATTCCCTCCAGGTCTTTGCCCCTGCCACTGCCACTGCCATTTGGGCTGGCTCAGGGACAGCATTTTAAAACTTAAGATTCTCAAATACATTACCCTTCTCAAGTGTTTCAGCTCAACCAATGCTTCCTTCAGGAAAACATCACTACTTCCACAAAATAAAGTGAGAGATTTGGTTGTTTTCTGGACTCTTCATCTCAAAGTACATCCAAGGCTTCCATAGACCTACAGTGATATTCACCTCTCCTTAACCTCAGGGCCTCCAAGGGAAAGATGGGCAAAAACAAGGGAGCCTTCCATTGGGCTACAGGGCATCAGCAAAAGGTGTGACCCTCTGGTGTTCTCACTCAATAGCTGCTAGATTATTCTGGCACAATAGAGAAGCAAAAGTACAAAACAAACAGGTTTATTAGTTGAGGACGTGGAAAGGAGCACATAACCTACGGTGCCTGGGCTGTCCTTCCACTGGAATATGGGGTATGGGACACACGTAATCTTTGACCTTGGGTGGTGCTTAGGACAGACATTGATGATGCACAAGGAGCTGATTGGATTTTTTTTCACATGCACTTGGAAAGGAACAAGGAAGTTATAATAGGGGAAGGAGAAAGTGACCTCAGGATAAACATCCCCAATTTGGCCTTCCATCGCCATAATGTCCTGTAATTTATTCTAGAGCAAAACTCTTTCAATAGCCACATCCGCTGGGACTTTCTTAGCCACAAATACAGAAAACATAATGTGGCTTCACATTTGTAACATTTACCAGCTCTCTTAACCAAGACTTCACGGACAGGTCAGTACCCAGATGCTACATAATATGTGAGCTTGACTCTGCCTCTCTAAAGCCCTCTTGGGTCCTCTGTTCCCTGTGTAATCAGGCAGAGACCCAGACAGCTACTACAAAACCAGGCGCCATAGGTGGGTACAACTCGGTTCATCACGGGAAGCAAGGAGACTCTTAAAAACAAAAAACTCTTCCAGAAATCTTCCAGCACACCTCCACTCAAGTCTAGTCGCAGAGTGAAGCACATGCTTATGCTCAACCAATCAGGGCAAAAAGAAAGCTCAATCATAATTGGTATCAATCAGCACGGACCCACACCAGGCTGAAGGTGATAGGCTGACAGACTGAGGTCTGCTTACTTCCAAGAGTGTGATCATGGGAGAGGGAAGGAGGCCTGGAGGTCAGGGTCTCCTTGGGAAGGAGGGAGGGTGTGTAGGAAAGGGTGCTTGAGAGCCAACAAAATCACTAAAAAATTCCTCTAAAATACTTTTTCTTAGAAGTGGCATCTTCTAATCATCGATGCTAGAGTAAGTACATTAATGATAGGACTCTTTTTTAAGTACATTAATGATAGGACTCATGGGAAATATAGTGTCGTTAAAAGGAAGCACCGACCATTATATGCCATTATACCTGAGAAATGACATGACAAATGATTATTTTTATTCAGTTTAGTCCTCTGATGAATATTTTATTTTGCTCTGGGGAGCAAAAGTAGATGACTTCATTGTGGGTAGGCCTAATCCCCACCACACTTAAGGCAAAAGACATTTTTCATATTTATATATTCTCGGTTTGATAAATCACTGATGAGTGGAATTATTAATCTCATAACTTCTTTCCAGGTTTATGAAGGCAAGAGTTAAGAACCCACAGTAAGACTGGTCCATATTCAAACAGGGAGTACCAGCAAAGTCCTTTGGCTTCAGGATACTTTATTCTCCACAGTTCTAATCACAAAAAGCACCCAAAAGTAGAGGATTTAAAAGAGCAATTCTACTTTTTTGTGGTCATGGGGTGTGCAGAGGTGGAAAAAAAATTACAGATCCAAATGATTTTTTTCCTCTTTTCCTTGTGTCATAGTCTATTTGCTGAATATCCTGATGGCCTTTGATTCTTATTCCTTTACTTTGTATTCTGACTCCTGGCTTCAAGATTGTTGTTGTCTGCAAATCCTTAGATACCATGGTTACCCAAAGGGTCAAACTGACTCTCCCCAAAACTGAATGCTGCTGACTCACTAGATGCCAAAGGGATTGTAATAGCCACAGCTGAAATAGCTGTCCTAACAAGGATGCTTAGGTAACATTAGCCAACGAAAAAGACAAAAAAAGAAAAGAAAAATACCCTGTGGCAAATCAATTACCTACCCTTCTTTTAAACAGATTCAGAATGGTATCATGCTTCCAATCAGGTAGGATGGTATTTCCCAAACTGATTTACACAATGCTAATGTTATTAAGAAAGGAAGGAAAATATTGAGAGGGTAAAGAAAAATTCTTAATTTTTCAAAATATTTTTACTCTTTAATTATCCCAATCTGATATCAAATAACATTGCTATTCTGTATATATAAAGATAAAGCAGTTTAGATTAAGATCTACTTAATTCTGAAAAATATAATAGTCAAATAGAATATACGAGTTGAATTAAATATTACATTAGTGATTTTCAGCCTGTAAGGCCACGCTCTGTTTTATCCCATTTGGTCATGATGCCATTTCTATGAAGACTGTGTTAATGCCATCCACATTTCCCAGGAGAATAAACTCAGAGTCTGAGAAGTTCTGTGCCTCTTCTCAGTTTACAAAACTTAGCAGGGGAAAGGAGGAACTGGCCTGAAGTCTAGCATCCAACTCACTCTGCTGCCTGCCCACACTGCCGATATACATTCATCACATGGGATTAATGTAGTCCTTACTGCACACACAAAGGCAGCAAATTTGGAAACAACAGGTTGCAGTTCTGCTGCTCCTTTCTTGCTGTGAGCCTGTTGCTTCATGTGACTGTCAGTTTCTCTTCATTCTCAGGTCCAACAGGGGCATTTCTGCAAAGAATGTTGGGAGAACCTAATGAATGAGCACATTCCCAAGAAGACTTGGAAAGTACGATGTGCTGACAGGTGACCAGGGGGGACATTCTGCAGAAGCTGTTCAAGCACTCAGCTTTCCCTGACTGCCCTTCGTGTGCTCACTGGGGCCCTCATTATTTGAACTCAGGCTCTAAACCAAGAATGTGACATCTTGTTAAACATAAGTGGTCTGTGCCCTTTTGAAGAGCAACATGTGGGTCACACTACCTTATCATTTCCAGTTTATAAGATGAAAGCAGTTCCAGTATCCTTGAACTCCTTCAAAACATTGCCAACTTTGACTCTTCCAACAGTTCTTACGAGAATGTATGATAGGCTCCATGGAAACTCTCATCCTGACAGGCCAAGGTCTGTGATGGCTGAACAGGATGGCAGTGATTTCCCAGACCTAATCAAGGATGTATTTCTGACAGGCAGCACAACATTACAACTAGCATTTGAGGTTTTACCTGATTGGCCTATACAGTGGTCTGTCAGAAAAGGATTAAAGAACTCAATAACAAGATTTCACATATTCACAGATGTTTGAGTGCCCAGTGAAAAGACTACAGAATTATAAGCGATAGAATTTATAGATCGGGTTTTCTTTAGGTTTTTAATATAATTTTGCGTTCTTCTGAACCAAAATAGCAAATTTATCAAGCTCACAAGTCCCTAGGGAACTTAAAGAGTATTGCTCAGAACTATCATAATAAAAATGTAACACTAAAACCACAACTATAGTAAGTTATGTGAAGGAAAATGTGGTTTTAAAACTTACCGAGAATGCATTCATAAGCATTATGATACAACTGAATGTGGCAGTCTGGGGCAGGAGTGGGGCACTGACTCAGGTATGATATTTCGCTTAACTCACTACCACGACAATGAAAAGTATTTACTTACTGAAGACAAAAGACAAGTCCAGCATGCATAAGGCTTTGGTTGATGAATGATTCAGCACCTAAAGAACAATAGCCAGTTTTTCCCATTAGCAAGAATCCTTACTGGGGTGGGGTAAAATAGCATTCCCCACTTTGGCTACGTGATCTAATCGTAGAAGCTATTCAAATTAAGCTATACTCAAGGAGGTAAAATGAATGTACACAGAAATGAAAGCAGGTCTAGCCTTTGATGGTAAAAATTACCCATTTCTGGACAAGTGTAAGTTATTATTAATAGTATATTTGTTCAAGTCCCACATTTAACCTGGCGTTATTTTCATTTACCAGTAGTCCTCTAGTTTATTGATGAAGAAATAATCAGAGATGTGTTGTCGTCACTATGAAGAATACTGCCAATTTAGGGTTTGGCAGAAACCTGACTATCAAGGAATATGTATACAAGTACATGTGCTAAAATATGAATTTAGAAAAACAACTATTCCTTTTAACCTTAATTCACTCTTTGGTTTCTTGAATATTTATTGAGCACCAAGCACTGTTATTACAAGCAAAATTACTCAGACTCAGTGGTATACACTAGAAATCCTAGGTATTTGGGAGGTTCAGGCATGGGAAGCAAGTTTCAAAATTAAAAAAAAAAAGGCTGGGCCAACAAAATGAAAGGAAAATCCACAGAATGAGAAAAAAAATTTAGCCAGTACTCTCTTAGACAAGTGACTGTCAGACACATATAAAGAACTGAAAAAATCGGACCCTCCCAAATAAGCATCTGAGAGAAACACATACTTCTTGATTGAAGAAATAAAAATGGTAATAAATATATGAAAAATATTTTGACATCATTGGTCATTTGAGAAATGCAAATTAATGCTGAGATTCCACCTCACGGTGAAAAAAAATGGCTATTATCAAGAAATCAGCCAATAACAAATACTGATAGGTCTCTGGGGCAAAAGAAATCATTCTCCATTGTTGGAAATCAATGTGGAGACTCTTCAAAAAATTAGGATTAGAGGTCCCATTTAACCCAGCTATTCTTCTGGGTATCTTCCCAGGAGAATTAAAAGCATCCTATCAAAGTGATATATGCACACCTAGGTTATAGTGCACAATTTGTAGTAGCTAAATTTTGGAAAACAACCCAAGTGTCCATCGAGCAAGGAATGA